CTGACCAATCAGTACAGGACCAGGAATACGCACGCACTTGTCCTACGCACGCACTTGTCCTACAAACACACTTGTCCTACGAACGCACTTGTGCTACGCACGCAATTGTCCTACGCACGCACTTGTTCTACGCACACACTTGTCCTACGCACGCACTTGTCCTACGCACGCAGTTGTCCTACGCACGCACTTGTCCTACGCACGCACTTGTCCTACGCACGCACTTGTGATACGCATGCATTTGCCCTACGCACGCACGTGTTTACAGACCCTTATGCTAATAGGGAGACTTCGCAACCTTACGAAAACGATAACAAATACGAATACGGCAAAAGGCATGAATAGCCTTCGTTGTAACATATGCTACTGAAGGGGAAGGGTTGTCTAAAAATGGTGTGACGTAACCGTATTCGTTATCGTGTTCGTAAGCTTGCGAAAAGTCCTATTGTTTTGTGAGACCACGGCAACAGTATCCACGGGGTGGAGCATTTATGTCTGTTGCCAATTTATTGATTTTATTGTTATTAAAGAACATAATTCAATTGAATTTTTTGTGTGTATTATGGTAACATACTGCATTACCTTGCAATTAAAAAATTAGAACGAGAAATAGGTCTATATTTCTTGGTAATTTGCAGACGCATAAATTTAACTATTCCTCATTTTGTACATGTGCCCTTAAATTATGGCATGTAATTGATTTAAAGAATATCATAATAAAAAGTTAGTATGTCAGCGAACATTAATTTGTTTCGATTCGTTCCTTATTGGAATTTAATAAGTTATTTGATCCTTTTCGAATGACCAACAGAATGTTTTAATTTAATGTTATAAGGGGGTTTTGTCAATTATTTGACAGACAATATATCTTTAACACCTAGATTATTTTCGCGGCTATTGACGGAATACGATTTATTTAGGAAACTTGGTGGAATGTTAGGCCTAGGCCAAATGTGCTTGTTGAGTTGGGGAATACCATCAATCTACACCTCCACGTTTAGCACCACTGTGCCTGTGTAAATCTGTTCATATAAATATTATTGTTTAAAGTTCACAGACCATTGACATTGTATCAAGTGGTTTACTTTTAAATCTAACTCTGGGTAGACGTATAAAAACGACATTGGCTGAAACAATCTGTGCTTTTAACAGCTTGTTAATGCCAGAATATATAACGGCTGAATTTGAGGTTTAATGAAAATTTATTACTTACCCATCGAGAAACAACGTGTAACTGTCTCAATAATTATTAGGCATTGTTGTGAAAGTATGAATAATAAAAACCCTGAATTGTGCGATTCATTAAAGCTAGGCTCCACAGACAAAACTATGCTAATATGTTTTACAACTCATTTGGCTAAGACACAGTATAATAGTTAGTTAGTTAGTTAAGCTACATTGAACTAGCCAGTGAGTTGTCTGCGTACATTGTACATTCATTTGTGAAAGTAGCCCTGTCCCGAACTCATTTGATGAGTCCTCCTTCTCGAAGGCACACACCATGCTTTGTTTTTGCTTTTGACGCTTGTTTTCGGTCGGTGACTATTCATCATTTAGACAGCGGTGTCTATTTGGTGGCCATTGTCTTTCAAAGAAAGATGGCTAACATTAATAATAATAATAATAATAATAATAATAATAATAATAATAATAATGATGATAATAATAATAATAATAACAAAATGGTGTTTGACTACAACTAGGGAACGGTTAATGAGATATACAGATTTTTGAATATTTAAAACCTGGTGGAAAAAGGTGGAAAGAGTGGTTACGCCCCTTTTTTCAGTTACTAAATATTCAAAATTCCGCATTATCTCATTAACCGCTGCTGAATTTTCGTCAAACACCCTTTTAGTGTCTTAAAACAATGTTGTATAACATATCAAACATTTTTTTAATTCTGGAGCCTGGCATTAAAAGCCGGGCACCTACTACGACGCTCGCTCAACCGATCGTTTTTTAATGACGATCCGTTGAGACTGCCACCGACAATGAGCAGACAGCGTCGTGTTGTCTACCGCTTTACTGGGAGCGGAGTTGAATTCTTCGTACAGTACGTCGGTCGCACGATGCATTGAATGTCTGGCTTTTAAAGTTTTTGTTAGATTGTGTGATCACTGCACGTACCTACTCTGAAAAGATGCTATTGTAACAAAGGTGCCGTTTTGAATATTCTGCAGCATGTAATTCGGCCGGCGATCTCCAAGTAAATCAATAGATACCAGTCCATCAGCACCTGTTTTTGTCAAAGTAAAAAAAAATTAATGAGAACGTCAGATTTAAATGTTTTAATTTGTTAAACATGTCAGATCTACATATCATGTCTTAATGTTGAGCCCTCATTTATCTTTCTGTGGCATTTTTAAATAAAAACATTCTGAAAAATGGATCTTCAGTGTGAAGCTAGGCGTATTGAGTTAGACCATGGTTAGACTATGTGAAAAACTTTCCAATAAGTTGGCGGCGTTTTCAGTCTACAAGTGTATGGTGAAAGCACATGCTAAATTATACAAAGAAATGATATTAACAATATAATCTTTTTAATTGTATTGAAGGTCCATTTCTTGTCTCGTATTTGTAGACGTTTAAATGTAAGCTCAGATGTGAGAATTGTCAATAGGCATATAGGCCTACTGTAATTATTCTTGATAATTACGTTTCTATTGATATAATTATGTTAAACTCACAATCTTGGTTTTAAGTTTCACTCGCTAAGTAGCAGCTTTGTCGATATTGTATACGAGTTGTAAATATACTTACAATATCAGGCATGGAATCAAATTGAATTCAGTGTCATTATAAAACGATTACTGATTTTTTTTTAATCAATAATCGATGATCAACATTTAATTTTGAAGAACGCATGCAGAAAAACTAATTAGAAAATTGATAGACTATTAATAATATATTTAATTATATTTAATCTCATCCGTCCCCCCTTAATCACAGTATAGGCTTATAATTTGAAGCGTGGTTACCATTGAATTCCCAATCAAATAGGTTTTCGCCTACATGACCGCTGTCACTTGGATCCATCCCATTGCCTAGACTCTTATTCAATGCTAGTGCATACAAGTACACAGAATCGTATATTAAGGCAGCTTCTAATAATACCTACAAAAATATAATACAGATAGTAAAAAAAACACTTGTGCAAAATGAAAATATAAAAGTCTACTGCACAAATAGACATGCAGGACCAATTAACGACTACATGCATTCTGAAAGCAATAACGTACAATCGTTTCCATAAAAATGTGCATCATCATCATCGTTGTCATTGTCATTATCTTCATCATCATGATCATCACTGCAATCATTATTCTAATACTATGATTTTGTAAATTATGACATCTGTTATCCCATTATTATTTATCATTAGGCCTAGTGTATTATTACTATTGTCTGTTATGTTATTTGTTAATCCAATCTGCAATTTTCACCTTTTATTATTGAATAATAATATTATCTGTTATTCCATTAATATTCATCATCTTAGCCATCGTCATCATCATCGCCATCATCCTCATCATCATCACCATCATTATTATTATCATTATTAATATTTTCAATATTCTATATTATTGCTAAAATTACTTGTATATGTTATTTTTATTGTATATTATCTGTTAACACTAAAATCAAATTTTGAAATTAAACAACATTGCGATCTGGAAAGTAAATTTATAAATGCCTACGTTTGTTTAAATACCATGTTCTAGTATTCTACGTATGTTGAGGTTTTAGTGGGAAGTTTTAGGCAATCATATGTTACACTTTGTTGATTTTAACGACAGTGATGGTTATACATATTTAACACGTGAAGTATGTTAACGTCATGTTTAATGGAGAAAAAAGAATTCCAATACATCTTGTTATAATATTGACAATAAACCGTACTTGAATCTAGAATGGTTCTAAAAAAATAAACATTGTCTCGTGTAGCTCTAGGCTGTTAATTTTGCTTCAACTTTATGCGCATTGATAGTGATTCGGGCTTCGATAGTCCATGCTGTAGCTAGTTTATCATAAGAAGTCCATGTAGGCCTACCTGTTCATCTTGAGGTAAGCTGTAATAAAATGGCGATTGACTAGTTTTTAGCCTGACCTCTTTTTTGAATTCTTCATATTCAGGACACGATGGTTCCAGTAATTTTACGTCAAGTAAACCTAGAATATTACAATGTTAATTCTTGAATAAATTAATATTACCAATAATAATTACCGTATATATGTAACATACTTTATATATAAATATAGACATATATCAAGGGCGTCAGAAGCGGTCCGGCTGGTCCGGTTTTGGCCGGACCAATAATTTACAACACAATATCGTTTTGTAAGCCAAATTGTACTTTCTCTGACGCAACCTCTTCTTTTTTTTTTACAAAATTAAATGACCAGACTTCAATCAAAAAATATTTAAACCAGTCAACCTCGTCTACCCACCATAAGCTGTCCCGGGATGGCACCATGATTTTCCCTACGGGGGAAGAGGTCCCCGACGGGGGGGGGGTGGTTTAAATGTATGTTAAAACGGTTGTTTTTAATATAAGTTCATCATCTGCTACGTCATTTGACTGCGTTTTTAATAAAGCAAGAATTAACTGAATATTAAAACTGCTAAGAAATAATTCAGTACTACTACCACAAACATAGTATATTTTAGGCAACTTGATAAAATTCTTAACGATACTGTATATCACATCCAGAGCATGAAAAATATTCAGTTTTATAATGATTGTAAAAGATAATATAATATACCGTACCTTGTGCAATCCCAAACTATAGTTTATTTCATTGCATACAACACATATTATAGCCGGTAACTCGTGTATAATTATAAACAGACATTGTTTTAATATTATATTGCATCAATCGTGTAGGTCTAACTACAGGCCATAATATAACCTGTCACACTAACAATGATCCGTTTAAATTTCATTTGTCAATGATATGGATGTCTCCGGAGAAACTGCAAAACAATAAAGAAACCTTGAAATAATCTATTTTTCTGCGTGATTTGTTAAACCTTTAAAATTGTCTGGGCCCCTTACCTATCAGGGCCGTAGACACCGGTACGGTTGGTCATGTTTCAACCTGACCACTTTTTGACAGACCACAAGTTAATTAGGGTTTGAATAGGAAAAAAGGGCTAAATTCCACCTGTATGTTTAAACCCAACCTACTCTCTCTCTCTCTCTCTCTCTTTGACATAACTCAGTAACCGTTAATGATAGTTTACATTTTTTTCTTCTCTTTAGTGTACAATTTAAAATGACTAATTAAGAAACTAGGATGCATTTTTTCTTCAGTTGAAATTTAGTGTCTAGTGGGCCTACCTTTTATCCAAATCAAGTAGGTCAATTACTACACATAGTGAGCTTTTGCAGAAAATCAGACTAAAGGTTCCATACACTTGCCTAGGACATATTCACTTCTTCACAAAATTACCAAGCCAAGACAAAAAAACATGCCTTTATCTGTATATTTATTCCTGATAGTTCTAGTATGCAACATTATTTTCTGTAATTAAATCTACAGTAAATATACCTTTTCAAGCGCAGATCCAGAATTACACTGGCTATCGCACGGATGGGTTCCCATGGTGGGAGGGGTCATTAGAAGAGAGTGAGCTTGTTTTGTCGCTGGAAGACAAATTTTAGATATAGGGTGGGGGAAGTCTTCGGCTTCTCCGAAAAGTTTTTGTTTTCTATAGATTCTTTGAAATACACTTCGTGCATTATGAGACGTTTATTATTGAATTCACTCTGAATTCATAGTTTTTCCCTACTTTGCCATGGACAATCAATAATTATGATTATGAAGAAGATGATGATGCAGAGGAGGAAGCTGTGCAAGATTAATTAACAGGCCATTTGATGTGAAGTGTCAAGCGAAGCCCGTAGCCTAAGTTACGGTTGGGAATTTGAAGACAATATCGTCGTCGTCAAATGTTCAATGCACACAGTCAGACAATAGATGATTTATGATATCTGTTTTGTATAGAAGTATCAGTTCAGGCATTCATTTATCTGTCTGTGGAAAATATAACATATGAATCACACAAAATAAAAAGAATTCAAATAAAATAGAAATATGTAAAAAACATCTACACTAAATCAAAATGGAATATTCACTGTCTGTTGGATCCCAGTTTTAGTATTGCAGGGGTTCCGAAGGCTTTACAGTATAACCAATCCCCGTATTTCTAATAGATTGCTGATTAAAATGTAAAATATTTAAGATTTTATATTCAGTACATTCTCAAATTTTATATAAATCTCATAGGCCTATATCCCAAAATTACGCTATATCCATGCACTGAAGTAGAAAGTTCAACTTAATAATTTTGATATGTGTTATGTGTGTTGTTGAACATAAGGAAGTTAGTAAATCAAGGAAGTCTACTCGTTAAATTAGTATATATAGTATAGAGAATTTTGTCTGTCAATCTCAGATATCCAAATTTTAAGAAATTACGTTTTATGCATGCATCGACATGAGAACTTTAATCTAATATCTTTGATATGTATAATTGGACTTCCTTGTGTTGTGGTCATATTAGATTGTAATATTATTATTAAAGAAGTCCATTCAACAAACAACATAAAATATATGTTTTATGTTGTTTGTTGAATGGATTTTTCATTAATAATACTACAGTCTATGACCACAACATAAGGAAGTCCACTCTGTAAATGTTTAGCATAATATTGTACGGAGAATTTCGATTGTTTATCAATATCATTATACACATGTTAGATCCAAATCACGTTTTATGCAAGCACCGACGAGGAAAGATTAAACATAATCATTTTGATATGTACATGTTTTATTTTATGTGTTGATTGGTCTTAGCTTATAATATTACGGTTTAATGGTTTAATTAAAAAAGGGTTTTTCATCGGGACCACCAACTCCACCCCCTCTGCCATGGGCAAGTTGAGGGATGGGGTGGGGATCTTCGCATTTGGCCGGACCAATACAAATAACAAATAATGTAAATGATAACAATGGGCGTAATCTGTTATATATTTGAGTACTGTTTCTATCTTTTTACTGTATCTATTTACTACCTTAGATGTGTATAAGAGACAGGTTTTGGCCGGACCAATAATTTACAACAATATCGTGTATTAGCTGCTAAGGTGCTCAATACAAGAGCATATATATAGTATAGTATATATATAGTATATTTACGCTAGGTATAAATACATATTATATATATATTTATATATATACCTACATATATAATATATATATATTTATTTATACAAACTGTTTTCGCATGAGGGTGACAACCAAGTCCAAAAGTGAGCTTGTAGAGAAATCACACTATAATATTAACTACATTATGTCCGTATTATATTTATATAATATTTTATTTAGTCTATTCATTAAAACACACAAAATTGTGATTTCAATGCCGCACTAAAGCTATTGGAAGGCTGTCAAGTTGTTATGATATTTTTTTCTAGTACAAACAAATCCTTTGCTAGAAATTGTTTAGTATGAAAATGACAAAATTTGATTGTTTTCCATCTTGAAACATTCTATATAAAAGTTAATAGATCTATTTAAAATATAAAAGTAAAGAATACATAAGCATTTTATGAAATGATTACTTTTGTTTTTACGTAGATAAGATTTGAGATTCAACTTATTGAATCGAATGACATGCAGACGATAATGTATGAATTTTATTACCGCCAACGTGACAACAGTATGAAGCTTAATTCAGTGGGGGATATATTATACAAGAGACATTTATTGGACTAGGTAAGTACGATGGCGGGTCCAGTATCTAACTCCCAAAGGAATCCCACTTGTTGTTCATTCATATTATGTTCATACTTGAAGTTTATGATTTATGTGTTCATTTCAACGTTGATATTTTGGTAAAGAGACCAACATTCTACGATTATACTGGGACAAACATCGGCCCATCTTGACCTAATCCGATTTCTCGTATTAACAATCAATTCAACTTTCAACATGTTCGCCAGTATTTAAAATGAAAATGTCTTCTATACAATAGTTAGACCTAAGCATAATAATTTAAATACACGAAAATATGGAATTGTAAAATTACATAAAAATGTGTGATTGAAAATTTACTATATTATGATTGGTGAGCAGTAGGTTAAATTTCAGTTTAAATCAGCGCATGTGATTTTGGTGCTTAGTGGTAGAACGTCTGTGTATCTGTAAAGCCTGTCTAGTTTTGTTTTACTGTACCTTCGAAAGCTTCTATTGCATCATCGTCCTTCGTATCGTTCCCCATCCATCCGTTCTCGCCGAAGCGCGAAGCCAACGGGACTTCGATAGAGAAAAATGCGTACTCGCCATTGATCATGTCACCAGCTTTGGCCAATAGCAAAAAGTTGCGTACATCGCTTCCATACGCTAGAATGATAAATACTGCAAAATAAAGAGAAAAATCATTGGGCTGCATATCGGATATGACTGTTTGCCATGAGTATTACAAATCTAACATAATGATAGCAGTGTTATTATTATTATTA